TCTTCTTCAAATTCTGAACAAATTTCGTGTTACTATTATTGTTGTAGAATAAAATTGTAAATTATTTATTTTCTGGATGTACGACCGGTCAAAACTTAAAAAAAAAATATATATTTTACTTATTTTTTTGTTATATGTGTATACAGTATATAATAATTCTTTTGTACATTTATTGTTATTTAAATTATGCGCATGACGCACAAGCATGTGGCGCGTGTGGAGATAGTACGCTTGGATGCGTGAAAATAAACAATATAAATTATAAAGCAGACAAAAACTCCGATTCTGAACTATGTATATATCTCTAACACTAATGATAACAGACGGCTAAATTTAAATGAATTATTAACTAACAATGCTTAATAGTATATATGGTATTGTTTGCACGCGATGTCATTAAGTTCATTTAGATATACACATACATGTATGTGTATATCTAAATGAACTTACCAGAGGGAGACTTTGTACAAAAGTCGATTGCTTGGGTACCTCAGTCCCATTCGTGTTTCTACCGTGAAGCAGTTGTGTTTGCATGGCTGTGTTTCGGTTTGAAGGGTGGAATATGGCGTGAATTTACAGGGTACAGAGGAATAACATCTGAGTCCTCAGGAATGGCAACGCATGGGTACAATGGGTACGCAATGGTACTGCTCATGTCTATAGGCGACGGTTACCACTTTCCATCAGGTGGGCCGTCAGCTTGTTTGCCATTCTAAGTTGTATAAAAAAAACATGTATAGATGTTTAAACAGTCGCATCAATTCTGAGGACTAAAGTGCTTTTTTTTAATGAGTGAATTTTTTTATACAACTTAGAATGGCAAACAAGCTGACAGTCCATCTGATGGAAAGTGGTAACCGTCGTCTATAGATATAAGCAGTACCATGTACATAGAGTATACTGTTTCGTCTACGATACCCCCCATGTGTTGCCATTCCTGAGGACTCGGGTGTTATTCCTCTGTACCCAGTAAATTCACGCCATATCCCACCGAAACACAGCCATGCAAACACAACTGCTTCATGGTTGAAACCAGAGAGGTACCCAAGCAATAGACTTTTGTACAAAGTCTCCCTCTGGTACTAAGTCTCCCCGTCTCGCGTTCTGAATTCAAATATTTTCAATGTTTATATATTTATAATTATCTACATCGCCGTATGCGCCCGGTATAGAATAGATCACACCTTACTTTCCTGCAAGTGTCGTAAGAAGCAACTAAGAGAGAACTAGGGATGGGCAGCAGTGTCCCTTTTAAAACATATCTAAAACTCTAACTGCGATTGCCAATCCGTCCGCTTAAAATAGCAACTACTGGCAGTACCTCCCAATAGAGGGAGGCCTATCTTCAGCAGTGGGCAGTCAACGGCTGATGTCGTATGGTATGGTACCTACAAAACATGTCGTATCACGCAAGCGGTGTTTTTTTTTTTTGTATGAAAATGGAATGCCTACATTGCCCGCGCTACCGGGATACGCTGCACCAGTGAAGGGTTAACGATGAGAATGAAAACAGGCCAGTTAGCCCATCATGATCAATTCATCGGGAATTAACCATGATAGTTTCCAGGGGGAACCGCGAGGAGGTCGACCTGGTTGGGTATATTGCTAGCAATAGGATTCTCAGTCTCCATTACTAACAATCCCTTTCCCCCCACGCGAGCGGTGTTGCCATTCCATTATCAGCTGTAAAAACCCACATGTGCTCAATCCATCATAGTGGGCGACGCCTGACAGGTGTTAATGTACGGATTGACAATTGAAAATTAGTATACGGCATGTATTTTGCGGCTTTCGACTGGTTAACACTTGACCACGTGCCATCTGACTCGCCTATTTCGACAACAATACTGTTTCACCAGGTCAGAAATCTGATACGTCAATTGACACCCACTGTGTATGTAGGTATGCAGTATGCATGTCAATGCATCGTAATTATTCCTAATATATAGAGGTCATTGCACTTTGTGTCATAGATCAAATGTGGTTACGCAATATAAAATATGTAATTGTATGCATATTTCGACTAGTTATAGTATGATATGCTTGTTTAAGTACATTGATGTATAAATAACCTAGAAGTTTTCAACCGACTTCAAAAAAGGAGGAGGATCTAAGTTTTTTTTTCATGGATGAAAATGGAATAGTAACCCCACCCGCGCTATCGGTATACACCGGCGAGGCACCAGTGAAGGATGATAGGTGAGGATGAAGTAGATCAGTTAGCCCATCGTGACGAATTTAACAAGAATTGTTCACGATGGTTTCCAGGGGGAACCACGTGGAGGTCGACCTAATAGGACATATTGCTAACAATGGGGCTGTCAAACTCCATTGCTAACAATCCTTTTCCCCCCGGAGGATCTAAGTTAGGTTGTTTGTTTTTATGTTTATCGCCTCAAAACTCCGTCATTTATAAATCGATTAGATAACATTTTTTGTTTGAAAAGAATCGGATAGGATCCTGTAAAAGTTTTATTAAAATTCGTTCAGTATTATAGTTTCTAAATTAAAATAACTGGTTTTGCCACGACTGAAGTAGTTTTTTTTTTGTTATTTTTTTTTATTTTTGTACACCTATTTAAAAATAAATGTTTTACTCGTATATTAACTATAGAACCTATTTTTTAGATTAACGATATGGTATTCTCTTTCTACGTGTTCTGCCAAAGGAAATGTCATGCTTTGACATCCTGAAATGTTCCACTGCCTTTACGCCTGTTTTTTAATATCTTACTGCATCTATTGGAGAATTATAATTCAACTAACAAACTAAAATTTAAGATTTATGACTCGTGGCCATTCTAAATACTCCTGATAAAGATATGGTAACTTTGTCTTGTTAGAACATGGATGTACGAACTTGCTGAAGCTCAGGCTGTATGGCTTAGTTCCTTTGCCATTCCCATTATAGAGAAATTGATACTACTTGTACGACTGTCAATTTTGTGACTAATGAAGAAGATATGGCGACTCCGCCTTGTTATAACCCGGATATAGAAAATACATTACTAAAGATTAGGCTGTATGGCTCAGTATCTTTGCCTTTCACTGAGTGGGATAATTAAACTATTACTACAACTGTCATGCTTTGTCTGATTACGTACGATTCTCAGGTGAATGTTTCTTTTTTTTCGTTATTACTCACATTTGCTATGCTTTTTCCCGTCCGTTTGTTACCACCACGGTCGACATGTCATTGATATGTGTCGTGATTTAATATTTTTAATTTTTGTTTGGATTTCGACAATTGTATTCTTCAGAATATGTTTTCCTACGATTGTTGCTGCCGCAGTATGTATTGGTATTTATTTTATTGTTGTTACACTATATGAATTACTAATTGCAAATTCTGACTGTACCCGCATGTATTAGGAATTTAGGACATAGTATATGGGCGGTTCTATCTTTTGCGAAGAAAGAATTGTTATTAATGGACTCAGTTGTAAATTTAGCATGCCTAGTTATGGCGAAATATCCTGATTTATACCTATTGTTAACATCTGTGTATTTACCACGTTTCTTGTGAAATAAATATGCGATCATTTATTCATTCATTTAGTACACACATAAATTATATCTTATTTTAACATACAGGATACTGTATATTTGATTCATGCGGGCAACACCGCGTGATGTAGCTAGTAAAAAATATCTAAGTTGTCAAAATTGTTACCTCTTGCATTCGATGGCAAAGGGACAGTCAATAATGGTAACTAACAGCTCCGTTACTAGCAAAATACCCCATCAGGTCCGTCTCTCCGAGGTTCTCTATAGAAACCATCGTGGTAAATTTTATTGTTAAATTCGTCACGATGGGCTAACTAACCTGCTTCCATTCTCACGTATCATCTCTCACTAGTGCTCTGCCAGTGTATATTGATAGCGCAGGCAGGGTTACCATTCCTTTGCCATCCATTGAGAGATGATAGGTGAGGATGTAAGCAGGTCAGTTAGCCACGCGGTTCCCCCTGGAAAACCACGAGGAGGTCAACCTGATAGGGTACATCGTTAGCAATTGGACTGTTAGACCCCCATTACTAACAATCACTTTCCCCCAGGAGGGGGACGTCGGGCGTCTCATACATTACCTGCCCTTCAAGGTAGCATACCCTGTGCTATGAGAAACCAGACAGGCATTAAACATCTGGGGACAACTCAAAACATCCAAACCCGAACTAATTCAGAAATGTTCGTCTCTTTTCCTGAATTGGTTCGACTTGGAATCGAACCCGACACCTTATTGACGTAAAACAACGCAAATGGCCATGTCACCAATGCGCCAAAGAGATCATCATACATACTCGTAATACATTTGATATGTCGAATAGTATCTACTTATATTATTTGCTATATTACATTTATTTACAACTAGCGTCCCGCCCCGGCTTCGCACGGGTGCACATTACACACATCACATTAGAAACCTCTAAAATTATCATTGTTTCTCTACTATATTACGCATGTATTATACATATAAACCTTTCTCTTGAATCACTCTATCTATTTAAAGAAACCTCTTCAAAATCCGTTGCGTTAAAGATTTAAGAATACATAGGGACGGACAGACAGCGACAGCGACTTTGTTTTATACTATGTAGTGATAATTTATCAGAGGAAGGCTGTATGAAAGTCGTTCGCTTTTGGGTAACGTAAAGCAGTTGTGTTTGCATGGCTGTGTTTCGGTTTAAAGGGTGGGATATGGCAGTGAATTTATAGGGTACAGAGGCATAACACTTTAGTCCTCAGAAATGGCAACGCATGGGGGGTATCATGGGTGAAACAGTATATTCTGTTATGTCCATGGTACTGCTCATGTCTACAGGCGACGGTTACCACTTTCCATCAGCTGGACCGTCAGCTTGTTTGTCATTCTAAGTTGCATAAAAAAATTATTGGTGAAAACTTATTTTCAGAATAACTACGTATTCTGCAGCATCGATTTTCAGCGCGACTTCAATTCATTCGTCAATGAACTAAATTCCTAAATTTGTTATTTTCAGGGATAGCGGATATGTGCGGGGCGGGGGCGGCGGCGCGGCGGGCGAGTTCCGGCCGGGGGCGCGCGTGTCGTTACTGGGCGGGCCGTACATGCCTGCGCCCGCGCAACACCCCCCGCCGGCGGACCCGCCGCCTTTCAAGAAGATACGGTTCGGTGTCGAGCGGTCGCCCGCCACCGCGCTGCCGTTACACCAGCCTCTCAGGGTCGACACCAGGGTAATAACCGTTTTATTATTTTGATTTTTTCAAACAAAATACCATGATTCTGAAAATCAAAGGCCCTGGAAATGTCCAAAAGCAGTGCAACTGCGGGAGATTTTTCATTAAATAATCCCACAGATTACGATTGATCATAAATATACCTGATTGGTAGGTCGTCTTTTGTTCAATTAATAAAGATGGTTTCCAGGGGAAACCGCGTGTAGGTCGACCTGATAAGTCGAAGTGATAAGACCTATGATCTGATGAGTATTGTTAGAGCAATGGAGCTGTCATATCTCCATTAGCTGCTACAGCTGCATTAGCTGCACAACATTGTTAGTAATCTATTGTTATTGTTAGTAATATATATTCTTATATAGTCGTAATGGAGATGTCGGTAGGGGACACTAGGGGACCCTAGACGGACGTATGTCGACCAAATAGGCGACGTGCTGAAGAAGGGCCAAATTAAAAGTACCCGTAACCGGCGAGCGTGTAGGACAAGATTGATGAATGTAGAGGAAGCGAAAGAGGTTTGTTTGAATCGAAGCATTTGGCGTTCCACTGTTTCTGCCTACCCTAATGGGAGACAGGCGTGACAGATATGTGTGTATGTATGTATAGTCGTAATCCAATTATTTAGTCAATTTATTAGTTATAATCTTGATAATCTTTATAAATCTCATTCAAATTGATGTGGTTTTTTTTTAAATGGATGATAATGGATTAGTAACCCCACCCGCGCTATCGGTATACACCGGCGGGGCACCAGTGAAGGATGATAGGTGAGGATGAAGTAGGTCAGTTAGCCCATCGTGACGAATTCAACAAGAATTGTTCACGACGGTTTCCAGGAACCACCTAATAAGGTATATTGCTAGTAATGGGGCTGTCAAACTCCATTGCTAACAATCCTTTCCTCCCCAAATTGATGTGATCAGGACTTTAATATTTACTAATATAAGTTATGATTAAATAAAATAATAAAAAACCATTGAAATTCATAAATCTCCTATACGTATGTTGTTAATACAGTATTTTCTAATTTTCTTTCATTATTCTTGAAAAAAGTAAATTAATGAAAATTGATGTATTCATTAGCGATGTATGAACTTTTCAAGATTAGTACGGAAGCAATCCGCTATTCCATAAGTACAGTTAGTCGAAAGGCGGAAATTTCGTTATCGTTCCAGAGTGCAGTTCCAAACTTGTATTTCTATGTGTTAGTCTATGGAAGTATTGTCTATTGGAAATATTGTCTATGGAAGTATTGTCTATGGAGATCTTTTTATAATGTTTGTAGCACTTACTGTCAGATGAGATACCAAAGTCGATTTTTATTTTGATACCCACATTTGTGTATAATTTATGATATTAGATTTATGTAATTCGTGACATTTCGTATTCGTTGTCGACTATATTTATTTATATCTCATTTTGCACTGTTTTATGTAATTTGTTTAGCTTTAATCCTGATTGTTGTTTTGGTAATCTATATGTGGCGAGTAATAGGATATATATTTGAAAAATTAATTTTAAACCTTTAAGCACTTTAACATGCGCCAATTAAAAAACTTGTAAAAAAAATTAGTTCGACCACTCAGTCTACTAGTGACCACGATTGATAACCAGGTCGAAACATCCAGATAACTCAGGTAAATTATCCTGGTTTTATTAACTGATCGTGTTAGGTCGACCTCCTCGCGGTTCTCCCTGGAAACTATCATGGTTAATTTCTGATGAATTCATCATGATGGGCTAACTGGCCTGTTTTCATTCTCATCTATCACCCTTCACTGGTGCCTCGCCAGCGTCTCCCGTTAGCGCAGGCGGGGTTACCATACCATTTTCACCCAGCAAAAAAAAAAAACTGATCGTGTTAATTTTCGTCTCTTATAAAACACGATTGGTAATGAGGAGGCCCTGCTTAGGGTTAAGGAAAAGAGACAAATTATAAAAACTATTGAGTGCAGAAGGGGAAAAATGTTGAGACACTTGATACGACACGACGAACTTATGAACATTATAATAGAAGGTAAGATAGAAGGAGGGAGTGGAAGAGGGAGACCGAGACATAGTTACATCAGGCAGATCAAGGAAGGAGTTGGTGTCGTGTCGTATCAAGAGGTGAAGAGACTCGCTGATAATCGTAGTGAGTGGCAAGAGCTCCACCGACAAGAGCGCAGCTCTTAAATAGGATAGATAGATAAAACACAATAAAGTCATGCCTCACGCACCTTTTTGTGATTATAGTCGCGTAATACACTGTTGTTCACAAAATATTCCATTGTTTTCCAGGAGCCGGTGAACACGTATAGCACGGTGGATCTATCACCGAATCCGCCGTCCGAGTCCACCGAAGACCAGAGCTTCAGAACCACTAAGGATGACCTCCTACAACAGATATCTAAGGTAAGTTTTTATGGAATTGTCCTACCATTATAAACTGGACATGGGCAGCAGCGTTCCTCTTAAAACATTACCAAATCCTAACTAACGGTTGCCAATCCGCCTGCTACGATTGTAGCTGTAATAGGCAAAACCTACCTTTATGGCGATGGCCTATGTTTTTTTTTATACAACTTAGAATGGCAAACAAGCTGACGGCCCACCTGATGGAAAGTGGTAACCGTCGCCTATAGACATGAGCAGTACCATTGCGTACCCATTGTACCCATGCGTTGCCATTCCTGAGGACTCAGATGTTATTCCTCTGTACCCTGTAAATTCACGCCATATTCCACCCTTTAAACCGAAACACAGCCATGCAAACACAACTGCTTCACGGTTGAAACACGAATGGAACAGAGGTACCCAAGCAAACGACTTGTACAAAGTCTCACTCTGGTTCAGCAACGGATAGTTATCAGCAGATGGGATGTGGTCCTTGAAAACATTATGTAAATCGAACGAATAATAATCTTTTATAAAAATTATAAAATCAAATCTAAACTAATAAAAAGGATACATTTGATTTTTGTTTGTAATTGCTAAAATCAGAAAATACTTAACTGAATTTAAATGTTCTTGCACCTGTAGGAAGCTACGTTATCATAAATGTACTGTATTCTATTTTCAAAAAAACCTTGTATTGATACTCGAGAAAGTTGGTTGAACACTTATTTATTCATTGAAAAAATAAATGGAACAAATTGTTACCGGCCAGTACTTAATGTTTTTTTATACCACTGAGGTGGCAAACAAGCATGCGTCCTAACTGATGGTAAGCAGTTACCGTAGCCTATGAACGCCTGCAAAACCAGGGGTATTACGCGCGCGTTGCCGACCCTGAAGAAACTTTTTTACCCTCCTTTTGAAAAACTCCATGCTGTAGTCTCTTGGGAAAATCTTGGCAGAGAGCTCATTCCATAACCTGAGTGTTCGTGGGAGAAAACGTATCTGAAATTGCGTTGTATGCGACCATTTATGCTGTAGGGTATGAGGGTGAAATTTCTATCGATGGTGAGCCGTACGATGGTAGAAAATGGCTGTGGGCATCATATTGAACAATTATAATTTTATTAGTGGCCAGTATGTAAACGTATATTACGTTACATTGCAAACCATGCAGAGATTTAATAAAACAAGTATTGTCTTATATTCGCAGGTGGACCGGGAGATGGCGCTGTCAGAGGCAACGCTATCGAAACTCAAAAAGAAGCAGCAAGAGTTAGAACAAAGTGCATCGAAACCAGCGCGGACAGAAGAACCGGAGGAGGCGCCGCCCCGACACAGAAGTCTCGCGCAGTGTGTTTACGCAGAAAATAGGAAAAAGGTTCGTAAAATATTCGCCCCTAGACAAGTAATGAGCGAATCTATGGATAGAATAGTTTATTTTAATTAAAATGAAGTAGAAAAAATATGTGTGTTTATTATATATCTTATATATAAAATTCTCATGTCATGGTGTTTGTTACCAAACTCCTCCGAAACGGCTTTACCGATTTTTATAAAATTTTGTGTGCATATTGGATAGGTCTGAGAATCGGCCAATATCTATTTTTCATACCCCTCAATGATAAGGGTGACCCTCCCCAATATTTGTTTTTAATGGGCTAAAAAAATATTCTCCAAATAATGTATATGGCATAACAACGTTTGCTGGGTCAGCTAGTAATAGTATATAAGTGTATATAATGAGTAGGGATATATATATATTTACATTATGACATGTGTCACATCTCTATATTTAGAAATAATAGAATTTCATCGTGCCTCCGATCAAATTGTTTATAATTACTCCTCTCTATCCAAAGGTTGCCTGGAAGAGATCGCTCTCAGCGATAAGGTCGCCCATTGTTTTCTCACTGTGATTATTTCTTGTAATTGTTTATATTTATAATAAGTTTACTATTGTAATCTTTTGGAGGAAACAATAAAGAATATTATCCTCTCCTGCGCTATCAGCACATATTGGCGGGGTACCAGTGAAGGGAAGATAGGTTTTTTGGAGTCTAATGATCATCAGTATCCTTAGTGACTGTGATGTCTACATTGAACCATTTAGCCTTTTGTGTATGGTGGGTGACTCATAACCAAACCCTCCTTATGGGGTAGGTGTTCAGCAATGGACAGACAACGACTGCTATGACGACGTTGACAATCTTAATTATTTTATACTTGTACAACAATTAATCCGTCATCCCAAGGTTGTCTTGTAAAGATCGCTCTCAGCTATAAGACCGCCTTACTGTACTCATACAACTGTATCGTTACATTTATAAATTGTCTTGCTTATTACCTATATTGTATAATGCAAATATATATATATATATATATATATATATATATATATATATATATATATATATATATATATATATATATATATATATCATTAAAAGTATGTCATCAACACAATCGGATATCCAAGAAATGGTTCTAATTCAGCTTGCAAAATAAAAAGCTATCTATGTTAAACAAACTAATAAATAATAAATACACATTGCAAGTTAAAAGTTTGTAAAAAAACTAATAAGTGATGTTTGTTACCTCCACCAGGCGGCGTCAGCGCACAGTCAGCTGGCGCACCTGGGCCCGGCGCCGGCAGCGCCGCCAGCGCCGGCCGGGGACGATGGGGACACGACGCGCACCGCCGGGCCCTCCCCGCCCTCGCCGCTGTCCCCGCGGTACCCGCTCTACCCGCTCTACAACCAGCCGCAGGACACCGAACTCTACCACGAGAACATTCGCAAGCACAGACTGTTCCGGAAACCCCTCGCTGAACACATCCGCCGGCTCAAGCAGGAGGCTGAGATGGTGAGTACATTTCTAGTAAGAATAAGGGATTGATACGAGATAAGAAAAACAAAATGTTACTGCCAGTAAAATGCTTTTTTAATGGATGATAATGGAATGGTAACCCCGCCTGCGCTAACGGTATACGCTGGCGGTGCACCAGTGAGGGAAAATAGGTGAGAATGAAAAAGCAGGTCAGTTAGCCCATCGTGATAAATACATCTGGAATTCAGGGGAGCCACGTGAAGACCGACCTGACAAGGGTGTTTTGCTAGCAATGGGACTGGTACCCCGCATTGAAAAATCTGAAAATTCCGGCGTTAAATAGCCTTTCGTTTACTTTCTCGTGGATATCGTAAGAGGCGGCTAAGGGAACTCAAGGGTCAAAGATGGGCAGCAGCGTCCTACTTAAAACATTTCCAAACCCTAACTGCGGTTGTCAATCCGTCTACCAAGCGTGGCAACTACTGGCAAAACTCCAATTCCACTTATGGCAAAAGCTTATGTTCAGCAATGGACAGCTAACGGTTGATATGATTGTTTCATTAGTGCTTATAGTATAGAGATATGGTGTTTAGTGACCATGGTGAATACGCCCCATTTGGTCGACCAGCCTCAAGAACTTTGAGTAATGTGTCATGTTTCCTATTTTTTTTTTATTGGGTGACAATGGTATGGTAACCCCGTCTGTGCTATCGGTATATACTGGAGAGGCACCAGCGATAGATAACTGATGAGGATGTGAGCAGGTCAGTTAGCCCATCGTGACGAATTCAACTAGAATTAGCCACGATGGTTTCCAGGGGGTACCACGTGGAGGTCTACTTGACAGGTTATATTTTTTTTTGATGGGTGAAAATGGTATAGTAACCCCCCCGCCTGCGCTAACGGGATATGCTGACGGAGCACCAGTGAAGGGTGATAGATGAGAATGAAAACAGGCCAGTTAGCCCATCATGATGAATTCACCAGGAATTAACCATGATAGTTTCCAGGGAGAACCGCGAGGAGGTCGTCCTGTTTGGGTATATTGCTAGCAATGGGATTCTCAGTCTCCATTACTAACAATCCCTTTCTCTCCTGACAGGTTATATTACTAGTATTAGAGCTATTTCACCCCATTACTAATAATCCCTTCCCCCCATGTTTCCTATTACAGCGCGAAGATTTATTAGCGGAAGCGTACAGTCGAAGAGCAGCGGAGTGGCTGCGACGGGTGGAGAGGATAGAACAAGGGCAGAAGAGGAAAGCGAAGGACGCGAGGAACAGAGAGTTCTTTGAGAAGGTACCGCTAGTTTTACATTCATTATTGTTTATTGGCAAATTGTTTACGAATACTGCAAGAATATCATGTATATACAGGGTGAAAGGAGCAGATTGGTCAAAACGAAAACAGCTGATTCAAATGATTGATCCGAGTCAAATGACAGATTGTTTTCCCACCAAAAATGCGTTACAGCCATATAATTAACGATTGTTAGTATTGACGCCGCGCAATGTATTTGAAATTTTGCGATTGAATCGACGCGTGATAACTACAACGCGCGCTCAATAGCGTTTCTTCGTAGGTAGTTTTTGTACGCTTGTGGCGTTGACCTCACACAGTTGATTCCGCGCTTCGCTGCAGGATTTTAATATGAATATTACATTGTTATTTATTTATTTATTCTTTATTGCACAATAAAACTTTGTCCAAATGGCGAGCTTAATGCCATATGGCATTCTCTACCAGCTAACCATTAATTTTTCTTGGTATTTCGTAGTATTTCACTATAAAATATTATTATTTCTTTATATTACGACATAATGTTATATATTATAGACATGGATTTAAATAAAAAAGAAAAAAAATCAGAAAAAAAATTGAAAATTTCCGAATAAACTTTCCATTGGTTTTCAGTTCAGAATAATTTATTTATTTATTTATTTATTTATTCTTTATTGTACACAAAAAATTACAACATATAATATATATAAAATAAAGATGTACAACAGGCGAGCTTAACTCTGTAAGAGTTCTCTTCCAGCAAACACTGAGTGGAAAGGAGCATTAATTACCAGTGGGCAGTGTGCGTACAATAATAGGAGGAAACATTATAGATGTTTCTATTAAAAAATAATAAATGAATTCATTGTATCAGTTTTTGTCAACTTATCACTTACACCCTGTATAATCGTTTTTGTTTATATGTACTATTGTAAAAAACTGTATATATTTACTGAAGATAATAAAGATGGTATATCCTTTGCCATCTTATTTAGTATGTGTACAGCATGGGGTTCTTCAAAAGGGGGGTAAAGAGGTTTCTTCAGGGTCGGCAACGCGCGCGTAATACACCTGGTATTGCATGCGTTCATAGGCTACGGTAACCGCTTACCATCAGGTGGGCCGTATGTCTGTTTGCCACCTCAGTGGTATAAAAAAAAATGTGTATACCTAATTTCATAGTGATTGGTTAAGCCGTTAAGGCGCTATAAGGTAACAAACAAACAAACACCACTTTCACATTTTTAATATTAGTAAGGATGAATATTCATCTTCAACGCTGCATGTTTTATGTTTTAAAGCGTCCATTTGGACAAACTGCCATAATTTACTTTACTTATCTTGACATATCTGCCCGGATACATTTCGTCCGTCTCGTCCGCCAACGTCGACGGCGGCGACCCCCCCCCCCCCCTCGTTACACCGACCCCCGTCCCTGATGGGGACCGAAGTGCGGTAGCCTAAGTCGACGTTCGAGCCACTAAGACGCCCTCGGGCGCAAACACCGCAATCCATCTGAAAGAGCTGACGCCTTACGTCGCTCCCCTCTCGCGGGCTTGGAGTGCCTTCCGCACTCGCCCCTGTACACGCGCTCAGTGAAGCTGTAAAGGCCACCTGCGGCCAACAGCATATATGGTACGAAAAAAAACGACATCATGACCTTCAAGAAAAGAGCATATCCTTTTTAAAAAGGCCAGCAACACTCCTGCAATGCCTCTGGTGTAGCAGGTGCTCATGAGCAGCGGTAGTCACTTACCGTTAGGTTTTCTCTTAGTCACCTGTCATAACACCCACGGAAAAGTAATGGGTGGTCCACACCCTATGTGGAGACCACACGGCTACAAGTCTATTAATTCTTCAAAACTTCCAGGTATTTCCCGAGCTCCGGAAACAGCGGGAGGAGCGAGAACGGTTCAACCGCCTGGGCGCGCGCGTCAAGTCCGAGGCGGAGCTGGAGGAGATCGCGGACGGCTTGCATGAGCAAGAGCACGAGGACAAGAAGATGCGGTCGCTGACGGTGGTGCCGCCGCTGTTGCGCGACCCCACCGACAAACGACCCGTATACGTGGACACCAACCGTTAGTTGACACCCCCCATACTACCATACCATAGCGAGCCAACAGCACGAGCAGAGAGAGAAGGGATTATTTATAATGAGATCATTAGCAACACTAGTTCTTGTCGCTAGCAATAGGCTTCATCACATCGACCTTACGAATTCGACTTCTATACAAAATCTTTGGTCTATTTTTCGGAAGCATCTGTTGATCGGTTTCATTTTTCATGTAAAATATTTTAATTGTAGATAGATAGATAGATAGATACTCTTTATTGTTTCCTCTAAAAGATTACAATAGTAAACTTATTATAGATACAAACAATTACAAGAAATAATCACAATGAGAAAACAATGGGCGACCTTATCGCTAAGAGCGATCTCTTCCATCCTTTGCATGGAGAGGAGTAATTATAAACAATTTGGTGGGAGGCACGATGAAAATTTTTAGATATCTGAAGAAATAAGTATGCTAACCCGACAAATAAACAAATTAAGAAGATGACGACTTGCTCAAATAAAAAAACTTTAGTTTTGTTTTAAAACTAGACAGACATTTTATATTTCGTATTGAAACTGGTAATAGTATGTAACAAGTACATCTAAACTAATCAGGCGGCCTGGCTTTGTCATCACCAAGCCGAGCCCAGCCGTGCCATCCTTTTCTCGCAGCCATTTACGGTACTCTTGACACTCTGTGACTTCATTGTGGATAAAGCAAGTAGTTTGAAATTGTAGTGATCAGTAGGACGTACTGTAACTGGCTTAAAATCGAAAATGGAATGTTGCATTGGTTCGGCCATTTGGATGGATGAATGAAGAATTAGAAATGTCGGTAGGGCACAGAGATGTGTTGACCAAATTCAAAATATTTTCAACCGGCGAGGTGTATGACAAGATTGTGTGTGATGGACATTTGGAGTTTCTGCCTACACTAATGGAACACAAAGTATGTATATATGTTATTATACCTTATAGTTTACGAAATGTAAAGAAGAAAGATTTTTTTGTTTATAAAGGTTAGATTCGAAAAATACCCTAACGCATATTTTATAATTCTCACACCTATAGAAAGCTATATTATAAGCGAGTGACATGGACTGTATTTTACTAAAAAGAACTCGTGCGAAGTCGGGTCAGGCCCCTAGTTATGTATATTATTACTGAGAGACGAGCTTTTCCAGGCAGTAAAACCTGTGACACTGCGACTTTACATCTCTTGTGCAAAGAACTGTCAATGATAAGGTTTTGTGTAGATATTTTTTTATCCAGCGCTAGTTACTGCAACGAGGCAAACAAGTGACGCCCACCTGATGGATTGTGTCAGGTAATGGAAATACTGAAAATCAATGTAAACTTATGACTATAAATTTACAGGGCACAGAGATAAATTCAAAATATTTTCACAGGTCGGTGTATGGACATGGAGGCGGAACACAAAGAGCTCGTTCAGACAGCGAATGAATGAATGAATAGCCAGCTTTCTGCCGAGGAAAAGTGAATGAAATACTAAAAATTATTGCTACAATGTGGCTACAATACAATAAAGTTTTATCGTAATATTACCGCGTGAATATGTTCATAGATTTTCATAAAACGTAGTAGAATACAATAGAAATAATCTATTGAAATAGATTTGTTTACAAGCCCTTTTTAATCGTCAATTATTTATTAAATATTCTACTGCTGGGTTCGGGATGTTGTTATCTGCTGAGAAGAACTAGCAAGAAACTCAACAGTTACTCTTCTCAAATTATTATGTACACGATAATTTTCCATTTGCATGAGTACTGTAAAATATAATTAAAATTAAGTTTTATTTATATGTATGTGTGTGTGTGTGTGTGTGTGTGTATATATATATATATATATATATATATATATACACAACCTATTCTCTTCTAAATATATTCAACTGCTTATGATTGAACTCCGTCACTTGTAAATCGATGTGGAAAATTCTTTTTGTATCTGAAAGGATATGATACCGATAGAAATAAAACAAACATCAAATCTGTTAAGCTATTTCTGAGTATGTACAGATAAAGAAACAAAGAGACAAAAATACTAAAAATCATTGTTTTGTGTTTTAATAGTTTAATATCTTTCATGTACAGACAGCGAACTGTTAAGAATTTTATTATATCTATTGATAACTATCTGACTCGGCAAACGTTGTTTTACCATATACATTATTTCGAGAATCATACATGAAAATTTCTTGTACTAAAACTATTGTATTCGATTGTCATCTTGCAACCCTATTGCGGCATATAAAAATCGTGATTTAAAAACAGAGGTTGATCGTAAAAGCGTGAAAATTTGAATTTGTATGTATTTTTCAATGCTTAATCATAATAAAATAAAAATAAGAAAATTTGTCAAAAAAAAATAAAAAAAAATATTTAGGGGTGGTTCACCCTTCTGACTGTGGGGTATAAAAAATAGATGTTGGTCGATTCTCAGACCTACCCGATATGCACACAAAATTTCATAAAAATCGGTTAAGCCGTTTCGGAGAAGTTTGGTAACAAACACCGTGACACGAGAATTTTATATATTAGGTATATCGGAGTACACTAACAAATATAGTGGGGCGTGATTCTGAGACGCCATTTATCTCTTAATCTTAAATATTTTAATTTAATATTTTCGAGATATTACCAGTTTATGGACCATTATGAATTAAATTTGTAATATTTTTTACTTGTAATGTAAATTGGACTATCTTTTCCGCGGTAATTCTTAAATAAATCCCTTCGAAGTTTTTGTATGAAAGAGTAAAGAACACCCATCTATCCGTATTTACAAATGTTCTGATCTGTAATAGTAATATTTATTTATTTATTTATTACATCCACTGGGTGAAAAATAACAAAAATAATATAAAAAGATTTAACTCAAACAAAAAACGTCTGAACACAAATACTCTGTGGCCACTTGACGAAACTCCAGCAAGTTGAAAGCAAATACATCCAATTGCGGATACTATAATTCTATGTACCTGATAGGTACCCAAGTCAGTACTCGAGTCAACCAGACTCTGCATTATCACTTGAAGTATTTAATTCGCGTATGTCTTATTGTACAGATTTTACTACTTATCGAAGAAGGCTGAGAACTACAAGCAGTTGCTGCGGAAACCCCGGCAGCGGCGCTCCAACCGCAACCCGCAGCGGCCCGCAGCCGAGCCCGAGCTGCCCGCCGGCGTCACCACGCGGCTACAGCGGTCGCAGGGTTAGTCTAGTCTAGTTGCTCTGTCATCATCTTGTCAGACTTGTACAGTCTTACCATAAAAATAATTTAGACTGGACCCTACAAGGTCCAGTCAGCAATAGCAAAGGTCTCTAACGGCCCCATTGCTAGCAATATATCGTATTAGGTTAACCTCCACGCGGTTCCCCTTGGAAGTAATCATCGTTGACGATGACGCGACTTCGTCTACTGACCTGCCATCATCTTAATCCATCATATCTCACTCTTGCTCCGCCAGTGTACATCGATAGCGCAGGCGGGGTCCTTATTTTTTTTTATACAACTTAGAATGGCAAACAAGCTGACGGCCCACCTGATGGAAAGTGGTAACCGTCGCCTATAGACATGAGCAGCGCCATGGACATAACAGAGTTTACTCTTTCGACCATGATACCCTCCATGCGTTGCTATTTCTGAGGACTCAGGTGTTATTCCTTTATACCCTGTAAATTCACGCCATATCCCACCCTTCAAACCGAAATACAGCCATGCAAACACAACTGCTTCACGGTCGAAATACGAATGGGACAGAGGTGGTCAAGCATTGCTAACTATCCCTTACTCTCCCCATAGACTTGTAGTCATAACACTGTCAATTTTCCTCAATTTTGCAACATTGACGGTAAACTTGATAGTGTATGGTCTTTTTCTCAAACATGCTTGAAAATGTGAGCATTATTTTGACAATCTTCTTCGAGATAAATCAAAATTGCCGTACTGGCCAGATACATGAGGGCAGCGGCCGGCAAAAGTTGTATGAAAATCTATATCTGTCGTGTTTTGCGGCCAGATAAATTACTATGTAAACTCATATCTGTCCTGTAGTTTAAAAATGGAATGACCTTTTACTTCGTACATGGCTACCAAGGAGGTAACTAATAAAAGGTTTTATTTAAATTTCGAACTGGCTCGCAAATAGAAAGCTGTTTATTGAAAAAAAAAACAAAGGAACATTATGGCGCGTGAAAAATTATTATTGTTCGTTATTCGTCATTGAACTTAAAAAGTAAAATTGTGTTTTTGATTTCCGCGCATTGTTTGAGAAAAGTACTATACAAGCCTTGGCCACAACTAGGCATTGATGGACTCACGTATGTGTGCCTCGGCTACGCCTCGGCCCACATTTGCACGTTCGTCCATCAGTGCCTCAGTTGCTGGCCGCTGCAGTGATGTACTATTTTGTCTGACAATTAATTATATAGGTGCGTGTATATTTGTAAATACGTAGCATTTCCCTTAGGTTCGAGCGCGCGCACGGCGGACAAGGAGCCGAGCGCGGAGGATGGCGGGCCGGCCGCGCTGCTGCCCGCCGCGCCCGCCGCGCCCGCCGCGCCCGCCGCGCCCGCCGCGCCCGCGCTGCCCGCCACTCCTGCGCATCCTGCCAGGTTAGTTACACACTCACTACATATCTACTCTTAAATCTATTAGCGAATGGACTTAATCTAATTCTTATATAATATATTGATAACTAACTCGACCATAAATACGTTTTTTTTTTTAATAATTAATTTATGATTGTGTTTAATAAAAAAAAAACCTACTTAGTTGTGGCGAAACGTTAATAATAAAAATATTTTTTTATTCAAGCAAACTGGATAATAAGCGTTTTTGAATAGACTTTTTTTTTAATGAATCTACCGCCCAGTTCGGAATGCAATTTCAGCTGAGAAGAACTGGCAGGAAACACGACTGTTGCTTTTTTTTAAAATAAGTGTTAAATGTACAGTAAAAAAAAAATATGACTGGATAGAATGACTATCACAGACTTCGTATTGATAAAAGACAGAAAAAAACTACAATCAATCGACAGTATTCTTGAACAGGCCAGTCTTTACTAGAAGCACGCGTTCCCGAGTATGACGGATGAGTCTACCATCATTATAATCAAGCATAAACCCCCTAAAACTAAACTAATCAACCGTGGCCGGGGAATTGGCAATTGCAGTTAGACTTTAGAGATGTTTTAAGAGGGACGCTGCTGTCCATCCCTTGCCCTCCCTTAGTCGCCTCTTACGACACCCACGGGAAAGGAAGCGAATGGCCTATTCTATGCCGGGACCACACGGCCAATTGTGGTTTACCAAGTCACTGATATTGCAGGCACCTGTAGATTATAATAACCGCTTTCCAATTATTCGTATTAGTCGCTTTTTTATACAGCTTAAAATGGCAAACAAGCTGACGGCCCACCTGATGGAAAGTGGTAACCGTCGCCTATAGACATGAGCAGTACCGTGGACATACCAGAGTATACTGTTACGCCCATGATAGCCCCCATGCGTTGCCATTCCTGAGGACTCAGGTGTTATTCCTCTGTACCCTGTAAATTCACGCCATATCCCACCCTTAAAACCGAAACACAGCCATGCAAACACAACTGCTTCACGGTTAAAACACGAATGGGACAGAGGTACCCAAGCAATCGACTTTTGTACAGTCTCCCTCTGGTGGTGATAGTGGTGGTGGGATATGGTGTGAATTTACAGGGCACTGAGGAATAACACCTTAGTCCTCAGGAATGGCAACGCATGGGGGCTATCATGGGCGAAACAGTATACTCTGTTATGTCCACGGTGCTGTATATGTCTATAGGCGACGGTTACCACTTTCCATCAGGTGGGCCGTCAGCTTGTTTGCTATTCTAAGTTTTAGAAAAAAAAATATAGAGATTCATTAACAAACAAACACACTTACACATAATAATATTAGGAACTTCCTGCATAGTCGTAGTTTTTTTATCTCATTTATGTCCCCCAAATGCCGCCCCCGAAGTACCAATTTGGAGCCGCCCCGAAGTACCAATCACAAGGAACGGTCTCGGAGCCACCTGTGTTCATAAACTTCTTGCAGTACATTTGAATCGTTTTAATGTTAGTCAGATTCATTAACAAACAAACACACTTACACATAATAATATTAGGAACTCATGTACGAGTACAAATTAGTTTAAATTGCACTCATATTTAAATTAGGGCGAGGGATGGACAGCGGCGTCTCCTTAACAACCCTTCTTTGCATGATTTTTTTATTATTGGTGAAATAAATCAAAGTAATATAATATATAATTCAATATATAATAAATTATTTTAAACAAAAGGAAAAATGGTTAAAATAATAAATTTGACAGCTATGTTTTTTTTTCTGCAATGGACATTAATAAGGTATCCAGACACGATCAAGTTAAAGTGAACTTGATCTTTTATATAAGTTTCGACTATTCAATGTTATGATGGAAATTTCCACCATTATGCAAAGAAGGGTTAAAACATCTCCAAAAGTCTAACTGCGTTCATCAACCCGCCTGCCAAGCGTGGCAACTACTGGCGAAACTCCCCTTATGGGGAAGGCTTATGTTCAGCAGTGGACAGTTAACGGCTGAAATAATAATAATAATAATAGACCGAAATCATTCCAATCGTTATGTTGGTGAACGGTCTTATCCCAACCAGTCTGGAACAACATCTCAGACGGTTGGGATTCCGAGGCGGCTCACTTCCGGGAAAGATGCAGAAAGCGGTGCTCTTAGATTCTGCCCGCATTGTACGCCGGTTTCTCTCCCTGGGACCCTGAACCCCGGCCGACTGTGCTTCTGCCGGGGGTTAGTCGCCATCCCCTCTCCTTAAGAGGGGAGATGAGAATTATAGTAAAATAAAAAAAAAAATAGTTATACCTTACCTTATTGATATCGCAATTCCCAATACACACAATCTACAAAAAACAATAGCTGAGAAAATAAACAAATACGCTGAATTTAAAGATAAAATCACCAGAATCTGGAAACAGGAAAAAGTTTACATAGTACCGATAGTCCTCTCGTCTACAGGTGTCATTCCCAACCATTTATACCATGGTCTAAAACAAATAGGTCTACGAAAAAATCTCTACATCTCCCTACAAAAGGCTGCTATATTAAATACTTGCAGAATAGTTAGAAAATTCTTAGATATAGATGAGGATGAAGTAGCCACCCGTCATACACAAGCATAACCTTCCATACAAACATACACACTGCACTTACCTGGTCATGTACCCGTAAGTGTAGTATAATTACCAGCGCTAAAAGCTGAGAAATAAACAATTTGTATTTATACTCTGTATCTACCCTCAGATAATGATATTGTTATGGCTCTTAAACAAAAAATGCGATGCGAGCAAATATAAAATGTCTCCTTCAAAAATGAACACCCTGTGTATATATTATTGACATATCGTCATTCAATTGAGACATTTCAAGAATCAAATAGCATGAAATAAAGGCACGAATATAAATACGGCGGTGGTAAAAAGTCCACATAATATGTACAATATCAATACTGTCAGAAATCCTTGCGAATCGAGCGCGGTCGGGCTTTTTAATTACGCCGTGTCAACACACCGCGCTCCAGCTATATGAATTATTCACCGATCGCCGAGAGACTCGCGGTTTTTTTACGTACCCCGGCTCCTTCGCTGCGACTTTTTGCCCTGTTTGCACTCGTTTCGCATAAGGTGGTATTAAGTGGATGAAGAACGACTCGGTACGCTCAAGTTGGGAGTAAATCGTGATTGTTCGAATCTCAAAACTCGTTCTGGATTAGTATTTTGCACGTGCGTATCGTAATTTTTTTTTATTGGTTTTTTTATGCAACTTGGCATAGTAAACAAGCTGACGGCCCACCTGATGGAAAGTGGTGACCGTCGCCTATAGACATGAGCGGTACCATGGACATAACAGAGTATACTGTTTTGCCTATGATAACCCCCATGCGTTGCCATTCTTGAGGACTCAGGTGTAAGGTGTCATATTCCTCCCTTCAAACCGAAACACAGCCTTGCAAAGATCACCTCTTCCTGTCCCTTGGGTGTCGTAAGAATCGACTAAGGGAGGGCGAAGGATGAACAGCAGAGTTTCTCTTAAAACATCTCTAAAAGCCTAACCGCAGTTGCCAACCTACCTGTCAAGCGTGGCAACTACTGGCAAAACTCTTCTTATGGGGAAGACTTATGTCCAGCAGTGGACATTTAAGGGCTGAAATAATAATAATGGGAGGTTTTGTAACATCTGGTAGTAATAGTGGTGGTCAATCTTCGAGTGTTGGCAATCACACGCATACTAATGGAATCGGAATTAAACAATCAAATAACCAGTGATATGGACTTCTGCAAAACAACACACCTAGTTCAGTGAAATATTTAAAGAACCCAGTACCTCATTTATGTAAGCCACATTCACCTACTGCGCCGCGGGGCCTTCAAACTTATCGGATAAAAGCTTTTAGAATTATATTAAAATTAGAACATGTTCCAAATCTAATCTCGATAAAACGTTGGAGCGGCCGAAAGGAGTTATTGTAAAACAAGCGATCCCGATTCCAGAGGAACACTGTTTGCCCACTCACTTTTAAGAGTTTCCCCGAATAATTCAATTTTTCATCTACAGATTAGTCGTTTAAAATTCACTTTTCTATTTGAATCCGCTCCTGTTACGGTTGGAGAGAGTTATTTCTGTATTTTCGTAACTACCATTTATTATTATTATTATTTCAACCATTAACTGTCCGCTGCTGGACATAAGACTTCCCCGTAAGAGGACTTTTGCCAGTAGTTGCCACGCTTGGCAGGCGGGTTGCAGTAGCAGTCGCCGTTAGCTTTTTAGTGATGTTTTAAGAGGGACGCTGCTGTCCGTCCCTCGCCCTTCCTTAGTCGCCTCTTACGACACCCACGGGAAATTTAGGGGCCGCCCATTCTGTGCCGGGACACACACGGCGACTACATACCATACCTGTGACTGTATCTCGGGTCTTTTCTGTAATTATTATAGTAATATATAATGGTATCAGTGGTTTCCAACACCTGTATCCTTGTGAATCCATATAAAATTTTATCTTATTGTGTCAGACAGAAAGACAGGAGATTTTGTACAAAAGTCTTCTGGTTGAGTACCTATGTCCCATTTATTTAGAATGGTAATCCCAGCCGCGCTATCGGTATACACCGACGGGGCACCAGTAAAGGATGATAGGTGAGGATGAAGTAGGTTAGTTAGCCCATCGTGACGAATTCAACAAGAATTGTTCACGATGGTTTCCAGGGGGAACCACGGGGCTGCCAAACTCCATTGCTAACAATCCCTTTTCCCCCCAAGCACTTGTGTTTGCATGCCTGTATTTCGGTTGAAAGAGTGGGATATAGCAGTGAATTTACAGGGTACAGAAGCATAACACCTTAGTTCAGGAAGGAAGGATTGTTAATAATGGAGACTAAGGGCCCCATAGCTAGCAATACATTCAACCAGGTCGACCTCCACGTGGTCCTCCTGGAATCTATAGTGCTGAATTCCAAGTGTATTCATCACGATGAGCTAACTGATCTGTCTTTTCATCCTCTTATCTTCCCTCACTGGTGC